ATTGGTCATATTCCCCCAGCGATGCAATGCATATCTGGGCGGCCTCCATTTCCAGAAGTGAAAATTGCGTATCTACGGCTGCAGAGAAGTGTCCCGAACATCGCCACGGGTACGTGGGTCTGACAAATTGGGGGGGGGGGGAGAGGGACAGAAGTGGTGCTTTGTTGTGCAAAATGTTTGACAACTAAACAAAATCGAGGACAGTGTGAAATAGAGAGCCCGTCAACAGTTGTGCTTGGGAAGGAGATGAATGATTGCCCCGGCAGTCTGCACGGTAACAAGCTGTACCTTACAGACAAGATCCATACACTATGAAATCCTCCCCCCTCTGCCTTTTGCTCAGGATAACCATGTTCAGTAATGCTAGGATCCAAAGAAAGATTCAGATTAAAAGGTTGGGGGGGGGGGACACCATACACTCGTGACCTATTTCTGACAATGTCCTAAAGATATGAGGCTGAAAATATCCAGTGGCATGAATAGGGAAGGTCTGGCACACCCTTCTCTTCGTTCATGGCTATTATTGCTTCTTCCTCCCACCTCTCCCGTTGTGGCTTCCTTCACTGTTAGGACGCAAGGCGCAAGAGCCTGAGAGAGAGGACCCATCTTTTCCTCTTACGCTCTTCTCAAAATACATGCATTTTGCCCTGACCTCGATGTCCCCGGTTAGCTCGAACTCCTCCAATCTAGGAAGCTAAGCAGGGTCAGCCCTGGTTAGTACTTGGCTGGGAGACCACCAAGGAAAGCCAGGGTGGCTATGCAGAGGCAGGCAACGGCAAAGCGCCTCTGAAAGTCTCTTGCCTTGAGAACCCTGTGGGGTCACCGTACGTGGGCTGTGCTTTGACGACAGTAACGAGAAACACGTCTTTTGCCCTGACCTGGATACCCCAGGTTAGCTTGAACTCCTCCGGTCAAGGAAGCTAAGCAAGGTCAGCCTTGGTCAGTATTTTGACGGGAGGCCACCATTGCAGGCCCATAGCTAACGTGGGGCCCAAGGGGCACGGCCCCCTAGCGCCAGTTTGGTGTAGTGGTTAAGTGTGCGGACTCTAATCTGGGAGAACTGGGTTTGATTCCCCACTCCACCACTTGCACCTGCTGATGTGACCTTGGGTCAGTCACAAGCTCTGGCACAGCTGTCCTTGAAAAAGGGCAGTTTGTGTCAGAGCTCTCTCAGCCCCACCCACCTCACTGGGTGTCTGTTGTGGGGAGGGGACGGGAAAGGAGTTTGTAAGCCGCTCTGAGACTCCTTCGGGTAGTGAAGGGCGGGGTATAAATCCAATCCCTTGTTCTTCTTCTTCTGGGCCCCTCCCTCCCGGGCTGGCCCCTCCCTTCCTAGCTTCACAACTTGAGCAGGTATGCAGTGCTCCGGGGGAGAGGAAGCTGCGGCTGCTGGGCATTACCCCCCGACTTGCCCTGGAATCTGGTGGGGGTGCAGGGCTGCCTTAGGGGAAGGCTGGCTTCTAAGGAGTTTCATTAATTAACTTTGATTTAATTCACTGGTGCTTCCCCCCAAGCCCCCTCCTAAAAACATCCCTAGCTATGAGGCTGCACCATTGGAAGTCTAGGGTTGCTCTGCAGAAACAGGCGGTGACCAACCACCTCCGAATGCCTCTTGTCTTGAAAACCCTACAAGGGCTCCGGTCACACGGAGGAGTTGCCGCGCTAAAGGTACGAATGTCAGGTGGATTTTTGGGGCGCAATTGCACCGTAACATCTGAGAAATGTAGTGCACCCGTGGCCAACCCGTGGCGTCCCGCCGAAGATCTGCAATAAAAAAGTACAGCGGAAAGTGCACTAGTATCCGGTAAACGTGGGGCAAGGGCGGGCGTCTGACCATGGGAGCGCTAGTATCCCGTGGCATCTGGCGCCTGTCCATGTCCCATCACAAATTGGATGTTTTTCGTAAGCGCATGCGCACAAACACGTAACCGAAAGCAGTGCTGCTTTGCGGAACTGAGCATGCGCACAAATGCGAAATGCTTGCCGCACTGTTTCTTTGCCACGCTCCAGCATCGCCGTGTGATCGCCAGCTAACAGCCTAAGCACGGAGACTTGGGGGACCGTGTGATCGGGCTACCATGCTTTATTTTGCTCCGGGGCGAACAGCCACACCTCCCCCCCCCCCCCGTGTTATCTGGCCCGTGTGACCGGGGCCAAGGTCACCATTTGCAACTTGACATGTATTTTGCCCCTTGAGGTTGTGTAGAGGTTGAAGAGCGCTCCTTGGCCTAAAGCTACTTACGATGAAGCCCAAAGCAGAGTTACACCCTTCTAAATTGATTGAAACCAATGGGTATAGAAAGGCATAACTTTGCTCGTGATGACACTGTTAAGAGAATCTTCTAGCACGGTGGAGATTTGGACTTGGGTCTTCCCATGTCCAAGTCCAACATCCTGCCCCCTCAGCTCTTGTGGCCCCCCCTTACTTTGCCGACATGAATCTTGCAGGAGCCACCACCGCTCCCTTAATCCCAGAGCATCTCGTGCATGCTAAAGCGTCAGCATAGTTCCCTTCCTCTTGCCTGCCACACTTCTGGGCTCTCCTTCAGGAGTCCGCAGTCTCCGAGCGTGTCTGCTTCTGGTTCCCTCTAATCAACTAGCACTGGAGGTGACCCAGCAGTAACAGACTGGAGCTGAGAAGAAACAGCAACAAGTGACTAACAAGAGACACCCAAGTGACCTGTCATGTCGGACAGGTCTGTTGCTTTCTTTCTCGCTGGCTTTGCTTCTGTCCCAGGCCCCCCGACTCCCTGTTTCTTCTCTAAAGACCTGTTTAGGGCTAATTAAGTCCCCCGAGAGTGAGCCTGAGGTGGCAGAGATGAGAAAACAAGGTTATTCATCTCTTGCTTTGGAAAACTGCTATGGACAAGCAAGCTGTTCCTCGCACTTCCCCCCCCCCACACACACACACATGAAGAAATTTATGCCTGCCGCCGCAGCTATTGCCGCTGCTTACAGCAAATGCAAAAGTGTAGGGAAGGTTCTAGCAGCGTGCTTTTCTACCAGATGGGCGCCCATATGTTTCGCCTCTCTGCGTTCTTCCGTTTTCGCTTTGGCACGCACATATGCCTGCCGTTTTAGGTGTGTGGGGATTTTGCACAGTTTAACAATATTAAAACTAATTCCGTTTATGCTCCTTTGGGAGTTAGTTGACGGTGCTCTGATCTCTGGGGGATGAAGCTGTTTGGAGTCCTGCGCATCTCCTTTCAGTCTCTTCTCCATCCAGTTGGATCCAGCCAGCTTCTCTGCTGGTGAAAAAGGAAGGAGGTATTGTCTTTGACTGTCCCCAAAAGGATAGGCTGAGAATCGTGGGAAAAACCCCATTTGTATTGGGGGGCAGTATATAAAGGGAAATAGGATGAGTGAAAAAGCCAGCGGCTTGAGCAGGCACTGTGGGACATTGAACAGGCTTCTGCTTTAGAGATCAAGATAGGTAGCCGTGTTTGTCTGTCTGCAGCAGGAGAAAAGAGCAAAAGCCCAGTCGCTGTGTTAGTCTTCAAGGTGCTACTGGACTCTTGCTCTTTTCTACTGCTTTCGAGACGTTAGAGTTTCTGGTGTCCCATAAGACAGGAATCAGAACGCTGATTTACTTTTCACTGTTTTCGCAGTCTTGTTGATTGGTTTTTAACTTGGTGAGAAATGCCATCATAATTATTCACGCTTTGTGTTTATGTTTATTTTTGTCTGATCTGTGAAACTCCTAATAAAATATTGCATAAATAATATTTTTTTCAAAAAAGCAACAACAATCAAGATGAATTTAGAATGTGATACCCTCGTGAAGGTTCAGTAGCAACAACTACCAAGTGGGAATGGAACAATTATCTCTTCTGAGATGAACGCCGCAACTCGTGATGCTGAGACTGTTGGTTAGGTTTCAGGTGAACAAAAGAGAATAATGGCTATCGTGACATCAGGGCGAAGAAATGTGAGAGAACTCTATTGCAAGAGAGAGTAAACAAGTGAAATTGAATAAGGCAAAGGCTCCCAATTTGAATTTTAAAAGTCAAAGATTTTGTCCCAGTTTGACCAAAATTACGTGCTAGTTGGCAGCTCTGAAATGGTCAAGCTACTTGTCTTAGCAGATGGTTTTGTTTTTTAACATCGAGGTTTCCAGCTCCAGGTTGGGAAATACCTGGGGACTTGGGAGGTGCAGCCTGAGGAAGGCAGGGTTTCGGGAGGGGAGGGGCTTCAGGGGGGGGCATGATGCCATAGAGTCCAACTTCCAAAGCAGCCATTTTTATCCAGGTGAACTGATCTCTGTTACCGGGATATCAGTCGTAATCTCAGGAAATCTCCAGCTACTACCAGGAGGCTGGCAACCCTCACCCCTCAACAGGGTTAGAAATGCAAAGAGAACATACAACTAGACGCAATAGTCCGTTTCTTGCTAGTGATTGGCTGTGGTTCAGAGATAGCTTCCGCACTGGTACTTGGCTAGGGCTGCCAGCCTCCAGGTGGGGCCTGGGGATCTCCCGCTTTTACCACTGATCCCCAGCCGACAGAGATCAGCTCCCCTGGAGAAAATGGCTGCTTTGAAGGGTGGGCTCTATGGCATTGTACTATGCTGAGGCCCCTCCCCTCCCCAAACCACACCCTCTCCTGGCTCCACCCCTAAAGTCTCCAGGTATTTTCCAACCCACACTTGGCAACCCTATACTTGGCAACCAACTCCTTCACCCCAAAGAGAAGGCCAGCGTCCCTTAATTCTAACCAGCCCACTCCACTTGGGCTTCCTGTGGTCGCCAGAGACTGTTCCTGAGAGATTTTCCCCTTAGTTTTGATTCAGAGCCAAGTGGACATCCCTTCAGCACAACTCGGCCACAATTGTCTCGCAGCCCGTGGGCCTGTGGAGGTGCGAAGTGCAACACTCGTTCTGTCGACAGCTTTTCTTTTCTAGGCTGAGCCCCCACCCCCCACCTCGGTTGCCAGCAGTGCTTTCCCCAATCCCCGTCTTCCTGGGTTTACTGACCATTCAAGGACTATCCCCTACCCCTTTCTCAGTGGTGGAAGCCTTTGCGGATGTAGCGGCCTTCCTCGTCCTGAGGGCCGCTCCGCAGCAACGGCAAGCTCATTAGATGCTTTCTCCTCATGCTGAGCTGCCAGCATGGGGGGCACGGGGGGTGGCAGAAAGAGCTATGGGAAAGTGATGGATGATATTTTTTTTTAAGGCAGGCCTTCTTGGAAAGGATTTTAATTGAAGTGGCATCCTCATCTGGACTAATTGCACAATGCAGACTTCCAAGGAGGGAACGCCATTCGGGGATCAAGGCTACCCAGGGTGGGCATGGTGGGGGGGAGGGCCAGAGTGGAGGAGGAGTCTGTTGGAGTGAGCTACTCAGCATGCCTGGACCAATGTTCCCTCTAAGCTGTGGAGCCTTGTGAACAAAAATTCTACTTCATGAGCTGCCGGCATTAAAGTTGTGAGCGAGCGATTTGGCTGCTGCATAAATGAGTTGGCTCTGGAGCTGTCCTTCCTGAGCTGAGACAAAAATGTGTGGGCCAGAGGCAAAAAAACTGTGAGCTAGCTCACACTAACTCAGCTTAGAGGGAACACTGGCCTGGACATTGCAGGGTGCTACATCCCTCTAAGGGTGTCCAGGTGGTATCTCCTTGAATGGGATGCCTCCCTTTGTCTTAAGCTGATAGCTGAGTGCAAAGTGATGCACATTGGAGCCAAAAATCCTAACTATAAATACACATTGATGGGGTCCGAACTGGCAGAGACTGACCAAGAGAGAGATCTTGGAGTCGTAGTAGATAACTCTCTGAAAATGTCGAGACAGTGGGCGACTGCAATAAAAAAAGGCCAACGCTATGCTCGGGATTATTAGGGAAGGAAACTGAAAACAAATCAGCCAGTATCATAATGCCCCTGTATAAATCAATGGTGCGACCTCATTTGGAGTATCGTGTACAGATCTGGTCGCCACACCTCAAATCGCAGGCACCAAAACAGGGCCCAGAAGGCTCTCCGCACTGGATTTGGCTGGAGGAAACAAATCTGTCCATCAGCTACGCATCCACCCACCTGCCTTCTTTCCCATGGACAGCATTGGGAAAAGTGCAGAAAAGGGCAACTAGGATGATAAAAGGGTTGGAACAGTTTCCCTATGAGGAAAGGTTAAAGCGCTTAGGGCTCTTTAGCTTGGAGAAAAGTCGACTGAGGGGTGACATGACTGAAGTTTATAAGATTATGCATGGGATAGAGCAGGTTGAGAAAGAATTACTTTTCTCCCTTTCTCACAATACAAGAACTCGTGGGCACTCCATGAAAGTGCTGAGCCGTCGGGTTAGAACAGATAAAAGGAAGTACTTCTTCACCCAAAGAGTGATTCACACATGGAATTCACTGCCACGGGAGGTGGTGGCGGCTACAAGCATGGACGGCTTCAAGAGGGAATTGGATAAACAATTAGCCACAAGGTATAGATAGGAACTCTCAGTTTGGGGCAAGTGATGCTCTGTATTCTTGGTGCTTGGGGTGGGGGGCAACAGTGGGAGGGCTTCTAGTGTCCTGGCCCCACTGCTGGACCTCCTGATGGCACCTGGTATTTTTGGCCACTGTGTGACACAGAGTATTAAACTTGATGAGCCGTTGGCCTGATCCAACATTGCCTTCTCTTATGTTCTTAGCAGCCCTCTGACCCCCCTCCTCTCTCTCTCACTTTGTCCTCTCACTCTCATCTCATGGCCTTCCATGGAGACACGTATCTCAGCAGGTCTCCCCTTTAGAGACAAAGCCCTCATCCTCCCACACACGTGATGCCGGCCAAGCTGGCCCTTTGTGACAGGGAAGGTCCTCTTTCGAACAGGCTTCTCTCTCTTCCTTTGACTGCAACTGGAATGTGAACGGGATCTCCTTGAATAAATGTAAGGTTGTTGGGTTTTTTGCAATATACGTCTTAGGAGATTGATTCACTGCACTCGGTATCACGTCTCTGTGACCATGCTACGTTAACCAAATATCCCAACAGAGTCTCATTAAGGGGAGAAATCGCGAAAGTCGCCTTTTGTTCCTCGGCCTCTGCCGCTGGAGGCATTCCTCATTGTCTCGCACCTGTGCATGGGAAAGAAGGAAGGTGGGTGGATGGGTAGCTGATGGACAGATTTGTTTCCTCCTGCCAAATCTAGCGTGGGGAGCCTTCCGGGCCCCGTCTTGGTGCCTGCGATTTGCTCTTTGCTAGCCACGGGGCTGCCATTAGTCAAATGAAGAGTGATTGTTAAAGGTTCTCCTGCGCTCTTAGGTGGCAGGAGCCCAGCTCTGCAGTGACTTATTAGTTGAGCAGCCGAGCTCCTGGAGGGCCCGGGCGGCTGAGTGTTTCCTTTAATGAATCTCTGGGTTGTTTTGCTTCTTAAGCGGAGCCGTTTGGAGGATAATGAAATAGCCAATATCTCCTTAATCCATCTCCTCCTCCCGCCTCTCTCCCGCCTCGCCCCCACCTTGTCGTCTCAGTGCTCCAGCGAAAGCTCCCTCGCCTCCTTCATTGAGCGTACTTTGTATGCACCCGTGCATGTGTGTTTATCACCAGGTAAAGGAACGGCTCAGGCAGATGAGAAGTTAGCACCACCGAAATCGAACCTTTTTGTCTGGGTGGCTTGGTTGGGAAGGTTATGTATGAATACGCTGCATATTTCCTGTCATGTAAGAAATGCCGTCGATGTGCCTGGTGGCGCCATTCTCAAGGTGGCCCAAGCAAGCATGTTTGACAAGAGTTTTCCAGTTCCTAGGTGCTGGTGCCGGGCTTTTGGGAAATGGCATCGGGTTTTTAGGTACCGGATGAACACAGAAATGCAGAGAACTGTTTCTGCATCTGACATGAGGCCCTGGATTTTTCAAGCCCTGATTTGCACACACAGGTGTTTATTTTCTAAAGCAGAAGGATGTGAACTGCCTTGTAGATGGTCCGTATGAGAAAGGCTCCACTTATTTTGTATAAACTAGTTAAGAAAGGGCCAACATTTACAAGGATTGTGCATGTTCATTTTTTCTGCTGCTCAGAGACACCATCTCTGAAGGGGTTTTTCCATCATCATCAGCAGCAGCATGTGTGTGTGAGAGAGAGAGAGGGGGGGTGCAGCCTGTGCAAACATTGTGCAACGTAAACATGTTTGGTGTAATGGTTAGGAGCATGGACTCTAATCTGGGAGAGCCAAGTTTGAGTCCCCACTCCTCCACATGCTGCTGGTGTGACCTTGGGTCAGTTACAAGTTCATTCAGAGCTGTTCTCTCAGGAATAGTCCTTGAAAGAGCTCTCTGAGCCCCACCTACCTCACAGGGTGTCTGTTGTGGGGAGTGGAAGGGAAAGGAGTTTGTAAGCCGCTCTTAGACTCCTTCGGGTAGTGAAGGGCAGGGTATAAATCCAATGTCTTCTTCTTCATCATCATCATCTATTGTAATAGCAGGAGATCTCCAGGGCCCAGCTGGAGGTTGGTAACATTAGCTGTCTCTAAATGACGCCCAAAAATCCCAGCTGGTACAGAATGTGGTGGAAAGGATCTTAACTGGGTCCCATTTTAAGTTCACGTTCTGGCAGTATTGTACCAACTGTACTGGTTGCCGGTTTGAACCAGGCACTGCCAGTACTGACCGGAAATGGCTTAGAGCCAGGGTGGTCAAGGACCCTTGTGATTTAAGATCAGCTGTTGTTGCCCGTGTTGACTTGAAGGGAATGGCGGGCAAATATTGCAAGGCCACTGGTCAGCAGTCAAGTCCCAGGCTTTTTCTCTGGTAAAGGTAAAGGTTCCCTTGCTTGAAAGCCAGTCGAATCCGACTCTAGGGTTGCGGCGCTCATCTCCGTTTCAAAGCCGAAGAGCCAGCGCTGTCCGAAGACATTTCCATGGTCATGTGGCCGGCATGACTAAATACCAAGGCGCACGGGACGCTGTTACCTTCCCCCTGAAGTGGTACCTATTTATCTACTTGCAATTTCTTGCTTTCAAACTGCTAGGTTGGCAGGAGCTGGAACTAGAGACGG